AAGAATTTAAAGGAAAAGTATCTATTAAATTGTATTTGCATTAATATAGAAAAAATCTCAACCTATTTGGAAATTGTTATCAAAAAGAATTTTCTATTATTTCTAACCGGTATCGATCAAATAGAGATGGATCAAATGCAGATCCCATTCTCACAAAGTTTTAGTACAGAAATCTGTCGATTAAAACACCACATTTTAATATACCCTCAATTATTCTCTATCTCTTTGCCCGTCAGATGACTCTTCTCTTACTCAACGTCTTTACTTCTGTAATACATATCTAACATCTAACATTTTACAAAAGTAACTTTCCGTATTTTGTTTTTTCCCTTCATTAATATACTTCCGTACCATTTGTCTTCTTTTTATTTCTTTCAATATTTCTTCTTCCTTTTCTACTTCTCTCTGTCCACGTAAAGCTTTAAATCACATATGGGCAACACCCGGCCCTAATCACGCATCTACAATTCTCTGTCGCATATCTTCCGACGTTGTTGGAGGTCCTTTATAAACTTTTTCCTTCAATGCACCCCCTAAAAAGAAATGCTTAACACGTTGAGCGCGGAGCCGATTTCGCTCTGCTTCCCGTTCAGGCGGCACACAACGGCGATCACTTCGCGAGCTGTTCGGTTGTAGAGTATAAACAGAAGATAACAAATGCGCTCACACGGCATTCAGACGAAGAAATAATTGGGTTGATAGAAGAAGGGTTCATAAATTGCCAAAAAAAAGAAGGAGACGTGCATAACATTTATTTTTTAAACACGATACTGCCGGTCCCACGGATCGAGGCCACCCAAACGAAAAGTTCACTGTCAGTCCCCACGGACTGACGCCGCCTAAACGGAAAGTTCACTGTCAGTCACCACGGACTGACGCCGCGCTTAACGTGTTAACCATCAATGCAGACGTCATAGAAAGAACTAAGCAGTCATTTCTTAACCGTTTACGCGAGTATATTGCTGCTAGTGGACACCATTTTGAGCATCGATTTAATTAAGGTAAATTATATTTTTTTAACGTCTCTTTGGTTTAGATGAAGAATAAATACTTTTTATGGTGCTTGCCGAGTTCGTCTCAGTATCTCCTAAAAGATGGGTGTAAAAAAATTGTAGGTTTACCTATAAAAAACTGAAGGTGATCTTGATAACTCTGGAAAAAAAGGGTTAACAAAAAATTTGGTACAATCCTCTTAAAGCCCTCCTTGAATCATGTTATTTTAGCTAAAAAAACTTCCGATCGAACCGCTAACAGCAGAATAATCTAAGCTGATCACGCTTCGTGGTCCACCCTGTATATGTATGTTTATATTAATCTGTCTCAGTACGTTGATCATTTTTGCTGTTACTATTACACAGACACACACTCATTTCTCCTAATAATTCAACAATCATTCTACCCTCCATAAGAATATGAACAAAAATGGTCCCATTGAAAAAAATACCGATAACCTTGAAATCTCGTAAAAAAAATGACTTTGGAAAAAATTTTTTCCATCATCAGATGTGCCCCGTGAAACAGTATAACTTTGTCCTTTGGAGTTTTTTCATACCACCAACAATAACGGAGATATTTAAGTGTTCCCATTTAAATGCCCCACCCTGTATTATAAATTTTATGTAGAGCTTTATGCCAAAGCATTGTATCATAAATAAATGAAATATGAAGTAGCAACTTGTTTTAATTGATTTAATAGTAATTCATTTTATTTAATAATTTGGTCCAGCCCTTGCCTTGACTCGGACACAGAATGATACATAATTTGGCCCCCGAACTAGGAAAGGTTTCCCATGCCTGCTTTAAGGGGGTCTTTTAGTGTGACGACCGTGTTTTTAGGCCTTCTTTGCTAATTTATTACAGAAGTACGGTAACAGTTATCAACATGAGCTTTATTCCTATGTATTTACTTGTCCTTGAAGAATCATTACAAATTTCTTTTATTGAAAAATAATTAAATATGGTTGCTGTGGAACACGTCAAACAGGAGCATGCCAAAAAGAAGTAGGTCCATGGTTGCCATGATTTGAGCTGTTCTGCTTATCAGAAATAAAAAAATCCAATTGATTCTTATTTAGTATGCATGTCGCTATGTTCGGTAGTAGAATAAAAGAAAAATATTGAAAATTAAAAAAATGGCGGCACTTTGAATATGAAGTATCGATTTTTTCGACTTTTTTTCGTCTTTCAGAGGCTCTAAAAATCAGAAAAATATATATTTTGGCATAATTCTACTACCGACCATAGCCACACATGTTCTGAAGACATGTGCAAAATTTGAGTTCGATTGGTTCAGTAGTTTTTGCCAGATCGTGGCAACCGTTTCAGAAAACATGGTTCCGAGAAAAGCGCGTTTAAAGTTTTCTCAGAAGTACATTCTTAAAGAGTTGTACTTTCGATATATGCAAAAAAATAAAAATCGATTTTTTGAAATCGTCACAGTAGAAGATCAGTGCCATTTACATTCTCCCTACCGGCGGCCTTTGATGTGTCACACTAAACGAGCTATAACCGTTATTTTATTGCAGTGCCATTTACATTCTCCCTACCGGCGGCCTTTGATGTGTCACACTAAACGAGCTATAACCGATATTTTATTGAATACAACTATAAAACTTCAGGAGTAGATTCTTAAAGAGTTGTACTTTCGATATATGCAAAAAAATAAAAATCGATTTTTTGAAATCGTCACAGTAGAAGACCGCCTTGAATTGTCAACTGTTGTTTCCATTTTTTTCACTCTATACATATACTCTTTTTACGCCTTTCTTTCTGTTTGGTGCATTCACTACCACACTTTTCTTTCTTTTCGATTTTTCCGTTTATCATTGCCACTGAAACCCTTTCCTTTAATTGTTTCCAACAGTTCCTAACATTTTCTGACATGATTTCCAACATTGTTCCTGACATTATTCTCTCTTTGCGCGCACGTATAGTGCTTCAGAAGTTTACTTTTCGTTTTTTCTCTGCTTTCTTCGTCTATTCAGATCGTCGTCAGTCCTATTCCGTCGAATGCTTCTACAAATTTCCAGAAGTCCGGATTCCTATTTATATGCCCTGACGCATTCCAAAAGTACACAGAAGCTTCACCTATCTTGATCCATCCTCTTCGGTTTTACTTCGGTTTAACTTACCAAATATTTCATTCTGCCAGAATATTCATCTGTCTTCCACTTTTATCTTTTGCAACCTCATTTTTACTTTTCTTTCTCATTCTCCTCCTTCCTCTGCCACAACTACTAACTTTGATGGTATCTCCCTTTCTTCCTCTGTTATATCGTAGACTATAAAGATTGTACACCCTTTTAGCTCTTTCTTTCGCATTATTTCTTTCTTCGCTTCTTCATTCTTAAGACCAATGTTCGATTGTCCTTGTCCGGTCGCGCAGCCCACCGGCCAGTAACACATCATAAACTAATAAACAGTCCTTTCCAGCCGTCTTCCTAGCCCCTAACAAATTCCTCCCCTACCATAAAGCAGTTCAAGTCGCAACCTGGTCATGTTTCCTATCCCTTTCCCCTTTCCGGGTTTTTCCCAAATTATTTAAACTTTTGCCCACCACCTTCACCCTCACGTTCTCCTTCCACTAGTTTCCTAATGTCCAATCACACTTCCGCATTTTTCGAGACCTTCTTTTCCACCACCTTCAACGTCCAACCAATCAGAACATACACCGACCCAATATATACCCACGTACCACCACAAAATAAAGAGTTCAAAAAAGACACTTCACGAGGACAAGGAAAACCAAAAGACACATCTCAAGTATCATTCCTTACCTCCGGAAACGTTCGTAAGGAAAAACACTGTACGATACGCGGTGTCGAAACATCGGAGTGAAGAGTTACGACCTTCACTAACGCGCCGTCTTTAGTAAAGTAGATCGCGTTGCATCGCGAACTCGTGCAAAAACAACCAAGTAGAACTACATAATTAATTTTTCCTATTTCCTAACAACCTCGTTCATTTCATTTTTTTACCACGTGAAGAAATTTTTAAACATCCTTTTTTGCATTTCTCCTTATCTCCATCCTGGTACGTATTGCTAGTAGATTCTTTCCTGTCCTGTTTATTATACTTTTTGGTTAAATTTTTCAGTTTTTCTACGTCTCCCCTATTTCACTGCCTATTTTTTCAGCTATCTCCACTGTAATTATTTCTTTGATTGTATTCATCTTATGATCTCCACCTGCTCTCTCTTCTGTTAACTCAATTCTTTCTAATTGTTTCATTTTGTACTCCGTCTCAATTATCCCTTCTTTTAACACATTCATTGCTCACTTTAATTTATTTTCCACATTTTGTTTATTTGGTCCGTTTACTCCTCTCTAGTATCCCTCAACAGTTTTCCTGTTTTCAACTCTCTTTTATTCATCGCTAAATATTTCAAAGGTCTTTTTTATGTTAGATTATACCTTTAACATGCCCCTCATCTGTCTGTTCCTTCTTTTCTGTTTCTATCTAATAATATCTTCTATCTAATAAA